AAAAAAAAAAAAAAAAAAAAAAACAGAAAAAAATTTTTTTAAATAATTAATCAACAGCTATTAATGAAAAGATGAAATTCGAACCGGAACCTACCGACAGCTATTTCATCCGGAACAGCTATTGACTGGAAAAGAGGATGCAGCAAATAACTATGCTCGCGGACATTACACTATCGGTAAAGAGATAATTGATGTATGCATGGACCGAGTACGTCGAATTGCCGAGAACTGCCGAGGCTTACAGGTAGAATAAACAAAGAAAAAATCCAGAGTTTTTTCTCTTTTTTTTTGGAAAAAAAAGAAGGTGTTGTTGTTTGTAAAACAAATTATTGTTTACTATAACCAAAAAAAAAAAAGAAAAAAAAGAAGTAAATTCTGGTTTTTTTTGTCAAACTGGAATATCCGAACACTGGTGCTCTTACAATTCCTCACACTACTACTCTTAAGCTATCGATAAACCATTTATACATACAGTTTAATTCACCTAACCATTATTATTATAATTTTGATTCCAATAAACAAAAAGAAAAAGTTAAAACCTACAACATTAACGTCAATAACAACAATACGAAAAAACTTAAACGATTGACTGTCTTATGCTGAATAAACTTTAAAACAGCAATCGAGACAATGACTGTTTGACGACTACCAACGTTGACAAAAAGTAATAGACGAAAAAAAGAAGGCGAAAAAAAGGCAAATACAGACGAAGATAACACTTCAACAAGATCAGAATCATCACTTTATCCTACATTCTGATTAAGAATGATAAGATAACTTTTGTTCTCAAAACCATTTTTTTCAATTAGACTAATTCAACAGCAACAATAAAAAAAAAACAGTATCAAGAAAAAAATTCCATTAATTATTTCAAGCTTTTTGATATTTATTGATCAACAAATGAAAGCAAAAGTTTATTATTGTTCTTTGTTTTATCTTGCCTTTTTTTCCCGTTTTTTCAGGGTTTCTTAATATTCCACAGTTTTGGCGGCGGTACAGGTTCCGGTTTTACAGCATTACTGATGGAACGTCTCAGTATTGAATACGGCAAAAAAGCAAAGCTAGAATTTTGCATCTATCCAGCACCACAAGTAACTTTCC